TTATATATATATATATATATATATATATATATATATATATATATATATATAAGCAAACACGCAAAACAAATAATTCTCGTTGCACAAGGTTGAATATTCCTTGTATGCGAATAATAATCAAACAAACACAAATACTGCGAATAATTTCGGCAAGGAGAGATGTGGCCTTCGTTTTAACCTTTTGGGGCTATTCTTAGCGCAACTACTACAACCGTCGATGTTCCCGTTCTTAGTAGTATTTATAGTATTAATAGTATTAGTAGTAGCAGGAGTAGCGCTACTTAGATGTTAACGGCGACATTTCATTTCTTCACCCTCATCTTCAGCAACACACAGCGGACGCTTCCTTTTCAATCTCTGACGTCTCTCCACTCAGTTCGACTGCATTCGAAGACAGACGAACCCCAAAACTCTCTCTCCTCTGGTTGGCTCGCCTCTTTATTAAGAGAACCGGCCTCACGTGACCCAGATTTGTGACGTATCTGTTTTTCTAGTGCGAACGTACTGACATATTACCAAAGTACAACTTCACTCCTACGAGAATAATCAGTTTACTTTTTCACTGATTGGTTTCCAAGGTTCACAAGAAGACGCTATTGTTTATCACATCGCTATTAATTATTCTGTCGCTCTTTACAAACTACAGAGATTCTTGTTTTAAAAATAAATTCTAGATCAAAACATCCTTAATTTTAACTTCGATTCTAATCGTGTCAAAATCCATTTCTTTTTTAAAAATTCCAAATTATTATTGTTCCAGTAATTTTCTATTAATAATATGATATCCTTTGTACACTTACAAAAAGATTGTATTTCGTGTTCTAAGTTAACTTTCTGTAACATTTACATTTCAAAGTCTTTACAGCATATTAACATCTTGGTTATTCGCCTCTCTTTCACTTGGTGTTTTCCGTTTTACAGCATATCCTTCTTCATTATCATTATTATTATTTCAGGGGTGATATTGCCCCTGGCACACCTTTCCCAAGAGTATTTGCGTGTAAATGAATATAACGATAATGGATAATGGCGCGGAATGGGAAATCGGAAAAGACGAGTTCCATTTCCAGTTGGGTTCTTTATATTCGGTTACGCACAAATACCCTTGGGAAATTTATGAATCCACCTCTTCTTCCCCCTAGCTATGGGTTAATTAGTAGGAGTTGTATCAGTAAATCATTATTATCTCCAAAAATTATTACAATCTGAAAATATTTTCTGTCTTTAAGTAACGCGGAAAAGGCAAATAAATGTCGCCATTTTATATTTTAAATTTCGCACATGCGCGTAGTTTTTTGAGGGGGTTGTTTTTGTTTTTTTAATGTCCACTGTACTGTATAGTAGGGTCAGTCCGGCACCGTCTGTGAGAAAAAGAACACCATGACGCAATACACCCCCAGGAAATTTGGAAAAGGTATGCTGTACTGCTTGGCATTCGCGCCGGAAGCTCCATCATCAACATTTCAGAGTATTTGGTTGTCAATCTGAGAACAGTGAAGAGGATTCAAAGAGATTTGGATGAGTCTAATGGTGATTACGAAAGTACGACAGCTCGGGAAACTCACTCTGATCGTTCTAAGAATAAAACTGCCGAATGTGTTGGTGAGGGCCTCAGACTCAACACGGAGGTCTATATCAAGTGCCCTGGGGGGACAGTGCTGCCCTGGGTCAACAGAGTGGCTTCTGGAAGACCCTATGTCTGCACCATGCCACGCAAACAGGGGATCCCAGTTATGGCTGTCTGTTTCCGCTCCCAAATCCCCATCTGGCGACATGACCCCCCTCCCATACCGCACCCCTTGATTATTATGTGCAGAGTGCAGTTGAGTGAAATATCAAAAAACTCTTTGTAATGCCAAAGATAAAGTGAGGGCAAGGATTATGGCAGCATTCACCAAAACAAGGAGACCGTCCAGAAGAGTTGCAGGAGGTTCCAAAGTCCTCTGGTTGAAGCCAATGGTGATTGTATTGAATAAATTTACTCTTTAGTATTTCAAGATATTTTTGTGTAATTTTGGTAAATCTATCTGTTAAAATGAGATGTCAGTGTTATTTTCATTTTTGCATCATATAGAAAACAATTTAACCATTGCTCCCTATAAATCAATCTTTGTACTGGAAATTCCTTTATTTTTCAAGTTTATTTAAACGGTATTGCCCTAACAAAAATCACGCTGTGATGTGCTGTTTTTGCTGCGTTATGGCAAAACACACATAACTAAACACAGAAATCGATTGTTCTTTTAACATAGACTTAGCACTAAGAGGAACCCTCTTTGTCTAGAAGTCCCACACTTCGAGATTTTCGTCTTCTCGGTGTTCTCTTAAAATATGTTGCAAAAATATCAAAGCCTGTTGTTACGAGGCCGAAGTATGGTACGCAACTACGCCTGAAGATGCGAGATAAGAAACACTGATTTTTGGGTCAGAAGTGTACATCTTCCCGTGTCTTTCGCAGTTGGCTTTGTTCGCGCTGCATACGTCAATTGACCCCGAAGTTAGAGCATAGACTACGCCAACTGGCCCGATCCGCAGCAGTGCGTGCGATTACGGGAGGCTGTAGTTTGACACATTTCATGTTTGACTTATCTTTTCTCTCTCCCTTGGTCACGGCTACCTTGATCGAATTCTCTGTGGAACAATTGACGCGGCATTCTGGATTCATCCATGCGAATCACTAATGCCGCTCCTTGCAAGTCTTAATCGATAATCGATCGCTATGTTTAATGAGTCAGATGTCCCAAGTTACGGGGTTAAAGAAAGGGCTAAAAGAACACACGTGATGTACTTAAGACATCTTTTTTTATGTGCTCTGAATTAATAGTAGTCTCGGATTTTAAAAAATGACTGGAGGTGGGACTACAGGACTTGTGCGTGTAACATGAATTTAAATATACTTAAATATTTTTTAACGGAACAAATAAACGCCCACATCAACACTCAAGCAGACACGTGCTCGCACGCCTGCCTACACACGTAAACATATACATAGGCACATACATTCATACATACGCACACACGCACAAATGTACTTATATGGTGGCTGTAAAAGTAGGTATACATTATTATACCAGTATTACCAATATTATAATAGTGCTACTAGGATTCATTTAATACTAGAATTCTATTTGATTTATTGAAATTATTTTTAATATTTTGACAGCGGAACCTCGGTTCACGAATTTAATTTATTCCTGAAGGCCGTTCAATAAACCGAAACTATTTTTCCAATAGGAATAAATGTAGAAAAAAAAGTCACAGTACAATAAAATTGGAAAAGAAAAGCACATGAATGTATACAACATGGCGGTCGACTCAGAAATTATTTCGTTCGCGTTAACTCGGTTTGGCTTTGTTGTTCGACAACCGAAATTTTGTTCGATAACCGAGGCATTTTCATCTCGATTTTTCTGTTCGAAAACCGATTTGTTCGCTATGTGAGACGTTCGAGAAGCGAGGTTCATCTGCATTTTCATAATTTTTATTATAATAAATGTTTTTATCATTTTTAATTTTTAATAAATATTAATATTATTCGGTTGGTGCAAAAATAATGACGTAATAATGTCGTTTTTTGACGTATTTTTTAACGTCAAAAAACGACATTCTTACGTCATTATTTTTGCACCAACCTAATAAATATTTTGCAGGTAAAGAGGCGTGTGACGTGTGGGTGGGGGGGATAAATAGTTTGAATATTTGCGGGATTGATATATATATATCATTGATACATATGTATATCATTGATACATTTAATGTTATTGATATATTTGTATAATAACGACAATACGATTTGTGCGCACGTTTTGTTTTTCATTGATGTATATTTTTGCCTTTTACAAGATTCTACCATAAAATGTTCGGAGAATTTAAATTTAATTGACGCAATCTTTTCATTTGTTATGTTACCCAGAGTGTACCTAGTCTCGCCGAACAACTTACGTATCTCGTGAAATCCCTTCAGAAGGAAATAATGATCAACTCGAGGAAATTAAAATGCAATATATACCTGTAGAGTGGGGCATTTCAACGTGGTGTAATGGTTAACAAGTTTGTCTCGCAATATCTCTCTCTCTCTCTCTCTCTCTCTACATATATATATATATTCTCCCTCTTTCTCTCTCTCTATATATGTTCTCTCTCTCTCTACATATATACTCTCTCACTCTATATATATATATATATATAAATATTCTCCATCTCTCTCTCTCTCTATATATATATATATATATATATATATATATATATATTCCTCTTTCTCTCTATACACACACACACACACATATATATATATATATATATATATATATATATATATATATATATATTCTCTCACGCTATATATTTTATATATAGTAACGCTGTATATATTCTATTCTCTCTCTCTCTCTCTCTCTCTCTCTCTCTCTCTCTGTATATATATATATATATATATATATATTTCTCTCTCTCTCTCTTTCTATATATATATATATTTTTTTTTCTCTCTATCTATATATACATATATATTGATACATATATGAATATATATATATATATTCTTCTCTCTACATATATATATATATTATATATATATATATTTATATATATATCTCTCTCTCTCTCTCTCTCTCTCTCTATATATATATATATATATATATATATATATATATATATATATATATATATATATATATATGATAACAGGTACAGTTTAAAACTATTCTATATTTATTGGTATTTATTTAAGTGTTCAATATCTGCGATAGAGCGTATATAAATATGAAAGTGTGTACTATGGTCAACACTGAACGTAATCTTCAAAGCATTGTGCCCTGCACCAATCATGGCCGGGAAGGCATCTGCTCAGGCACATTTGGATTTGTTCAACACCCACATGGCCAACCTGTTGCTAATACTGTAACGATAGAAAGAGATGAGGGGGAAATAAACAGAGAGCGTGGGAGGTTAAGAAGAAAAAGAGAAAAGAGAGAGAACAGTGTAATGGATAACGAGTCAAAATGAAAACTAAGAAAAGCCGTGTTCGAACTCCATCTGCTTTGTCTGGCCCCTCGGTCCGAAGAACTGGGCAGCTGGAGACTCATACGTCGAAAACAATCGGTGAAACTTCTCTTTCAGGGGGCAAGTGACTTATCGATTGAGTTGGATCTTTTCTAATTGATCTCTTTAGCTGAAATAATGATCCTTCTTCCAGTTGTGACCTCCTGATCCAGTTTTCCTCTCTACTGGTCCCTCTTTTTAAAACTTATTCACCGTTTCTCGGTGGTTCTTGAATGGACTTTGAAAACGGAAGTCAGAGTATGTATGTTGGTAACATTGCTGAATGATCTTTTTCCGCTCACCACTGCTCAGTTGCGTAGACATAGTGGGGCTGACAGAAAACGATCCTGTTCTCTTTCTAGCTGAATAACTCAAAGGGTTTTTCAGTGATTCTTACGACAAATAGTCTCAAGATGGCTAACCGTTTTATCTGATAACCTGGAAAAAAGAAACTCAATTAATTTTTTTTTAATTTTTTTTTTTTAGATATTAAACATTTTGTGGGATTCTGTCACACGTTTTGGACAATTTTGCTGTTACACCCGGTATATATTCAAATTATTTAAATATTTTATTTAAATTATTTAAATCTGGCATATTTTCATGGGTAAAAACGGTTTGATTGATTTGTTCAATCTTTATTTAAGGTTTATTTAAAGCCATCAAATATTTTTGAACTGCTCAGTTGGGAATTGTAAGAATTTGAATGGCGGAGGCATGATAAATGTTTTTCTAATACAAGTCCTACTATGTCACTCCTAGAAGTGGGAGAAAGAAGTGAGTACATACCTTTCCCCGGGGTATTTTCGTGAAAGGGTGGTTCGATGTGGTGTACTGCTCAGCAACATTATTCCTCTCGGTCAATTACGACTGAATAGTGAGTTCGATACTCACTGGGTGCCCCATACTTTCGGCCTTGATCCACATCTAAGTTACGGTTCTACAGAAGGATGCTGAGGATAACATGGACCGAACATGTGAGCAACGACGAAGTTTTGGAGAAAATGGAAGCAAAAAAGCAATTAATACTTAACATCAAGAAGAGACAGTTGAAGTTTATGAGGGCACATATTGAGGAAGGAGGGCTTGGAAAATCTGATACTAACAAGAACAAGAGGGATAGAGAAAAGCAAGTTCTTCTCCTTAACTGATAAATACAATCTTCAAAGATTAAAATGCAACGTCAATCGTCATCTTCTGTCTACTTGAAACCTGTTCCATTTTTTGTCCTTTTCTAAATCCTCCCCCTTCTCAGTCTTTAATTCCCTGTAACCCCAGATGGAACTCCCTTGCTTCCCTGATAAATACAATATTTAAAAATTTAAATGCAACGTCAATCGCCATCTTCTGTCTACTTGAAGCCTTTTCCTTTTTTATCCTTTTCTAAATCCTCCCCATTCTCATTGCTTAACTCCCTGTAAACCCAGATGGAACTCCCTTGCTTCCATGATAAATACAATCTTCTAAAGTTTAAATGCAATGTCAATCGCCATCTCCTGTCTACTTGAAATCTGTTCCTTTTTTTGTCTTTTCCAAAATTCTCCCCATTCTCAGTCTTTCACTCCCTGTAACCTCAGGTGGAACTCCCTTGCTTCTCTGATAAATACAATCTTCAAAAACTTAAATGCATCGTCAATCGCCATCTTCTGTCTACTTGAAACCTTTTTCATTTTTGTCCTTTCCTAAATCCTCTCCATTCCCAGTCTTCTTTTTCACATTCCCTCCCTGTAACCCTCTGAATACTAGTGGCATTCCCATATTGCTTGGGATGAAATGATTAAAAACAACTTATGCATCAACATTTCAGGCACCACGCTGCAAAATAAAATGTGTGGCTGCTAAACCAGATGTTAGACTGGGTGGGGGTGTTAAGTCAGATGGTAGTTTTCAAAGATACCGGATTTTATATTTTCTTTTCATTTTTCTTTTAGATTTATTACCGTAAAGAATTTTGTTTTTAATTTTAAATACACATTTTTATCTCCATTTTTTTCGCTTTTCCCTTGTACTTATTTTCTTGAAAGATACTTATAGACTTTTTTCTTATATAAGTCTATATAGAAATGTTTTTTTTTTATATAAGTCTATATAGAAATGTTTTTTCTTATATAAGTCTATATAGAAATGTTTTTTCTTATATAAGTCTATATTGAAATGTTTTTTTCTTATATAAGACTATATAGAAATGTTATAGAAGTTTGAGAAACTAATGTTTTGAGGAAAAAAACGGAAAATTATTTTTATGACTTATTTTGCAAAATTAATGACTGTCATGATTTTAACTCTGTCATAGCAGGACTGACTTGACTCTCTTGTCTTAAAACCGCAACTCGTCTAGGAGAAGGAAAATTCAAAACCAGCCTGAAGCAGGATGGGCTTCATTATGTTATTCTAATCCAAGACGCAGTATAGCTATTATGGATGCTGGTCATGTCGTGCTCCTGCGGCCTTAATTGGTTACTGGACTCATGACGCCAGGTGAATAATTTCAGATAAATGATAAAACTCAGCTCAATAGCATTGTCATAGATTAAATGTAGAAAACAAATTTCAGATTCTATTTTGGTTTCAGTTCCAGCAAAAGTGAAGGCTGTGGATACATTTAACCCATTTGTTCATTAAATCTTATATCACGAAAAAAGGGTAACGTTTGGAACAATATTCTAATGCCATCAAATGGAGACAATTAATGACAAGTTTTACGAATCTTAAAAAAACCCAAGTGTTTGAAAACGAGGCTGAAAGAACATTCTGAACCGAACAAACATCAAAACAGGAATCCATTTCAAGAACACTACTTTTAGACTAAAGGCATGCAGCACCTTATCAAATACGTTTTTTACATTTTTATTTCTACTTTGTTCATAAAAAACATGTAGTAATTATCAATATGTATTTATTTATATATTTCCTGTCCCATTTATAGTGGAAGGGGAGGTAAATCTAGTTAGTAAATTTATGAATGATTACTTCCCTTTGTTGTTTATACAAATAAAATATTTATCTGCATTTAGAGAAAATTATTTCCCGGACAAAATTTTAATTAATCAGTTCCTTTACTCCTACACTTCTTAGATTGCAGCCTTATTTGTTCAAGCATTTATGTGAGGCACTCAGATACCTTTTTCTATTAAGGGATCATCATGTTTCAACTTTGTCTTGAAATAGGCTTTGCCGTCGCCATCTTTGTCATAATATTACTAATTTTTTTTCCCCCAAGAGATATTTCCATTTCACTGTTTCATTAAACACAAAAATTTTAACATGAAAAGATATTGAGCAAAAAGTGATTCATATGATACCAGGAGTAATCAATGGATCATAGATATCATTTAACATCTAAAGAAAGTTTAATAATCAAACCATGTAATAATTATCATTATGTATTTATATATTTTCCGTCCCATCTGTAGTAACAAGGGAGGTAAATCAACTTAGTAAACTTATGAGTGATTACTTCTCTTTGTTGTTTTAATAATCTATACAAATAAAATATTTATCTGTATTTAGACAAAATTATTTCCCGGACAAATTAAACCGTTTAATTAATCAGTTGCTTTACTTCTGTGTTTCTTAGATTGCAGTCTTATTTGTTCAAGCCTTTCATGTGTATTAAGTAATCGTCATGCTCCATTTGGTCTCGAAATAGGCTTTATTGTCGCTGTCTTCATCGTTCAGTTGCTAATCTTTTTCCCAATTTCTATTTTACTGTTACATTAAACACATAAATTTTTTAACACGAGAAGATATTGAGCAAAAAGCGATTTATATAATACCCGGAGTAATCAATGAATCATAGATTACAATTGAATGTCTAAAAAATATAAAGGGAACGGATTAATCAAAGAACTCACTGGCTTCTAATTTAATCGTGAATTCTTTATTTCCGTTTCATTGTATCTCAATACGTTGTTTCAAGTCTTTTCTTCATTGCATCTCATTACCATTAACCACTAACCATTACACCTCGAGGCGGTGTAATGGTTAGCAAGATTGTTTCGCTAGAACAATTACGATAGAATAGTGAGTCCGATCCTCACTGAGTGCCTCCTGCTTTCGGCCTTGTTCCACATCTAAGCTACGCTTGGAAAATCGCTATTGTGCACCTCGAGGTGATGTAATGGTTAAGCAAGCATGTCTCGTTAGAACAATTGTGAGTTCAATCATCATTGGGTGCCCCATTCTTTCGGCTCTGAGCTACGCTTGGAAAATCACTATATACTGAATTCAGGCGGTTTGATACCATTATAGGTTCTAGATTATTCTAAACTCTTTTTCAAATATATCAAACTTACTTAAAACCTCCAGCTGTTCTCACTGCCGTATTTTATCAAATACTTTTGCATAATGTATAAAACAATAATGGGTTTCCATCCTGGCTTGAGACACTCGGATGTCTAGTCGCACTGAGGAGCTGTGATACAGCGAAGCAGTAATGTCTGAATGAATGACACACACACACACACACATATATATATATATATATATATATATATATATATATATATATATGAAGAAATATAGTCTTAAGGTGTGCTATATTTATGGGATAAACGTTAAACGACCTTGTGTCACATCTTAACCCCGTGGGAGTTAAGTAAATACCTATATTTATGGGATAAAGTGCTCAATATCAGAGATAGAGCGTGTATAAATATAGAAATGAACATAGAAGTCAACACTTAGAGGCGACAGTCTGTTTCATGCTATAAGCAATCGTCAGGCCACGATTGCATATAGCATGAAACAGACTTCACTTCATATATATATATATATATATATATATATATATATATATATATATATGGTGGTCGCCCACTCGTATCCGAGGACGCCTATTACTACATATTTTTTTGTAGAATATCTACAATGTGCTTAACGAATGTGGCTCTTCACCCCAGTAAGGGACCTACATACTCTGGCATAAACAGGACTCTTAAGAGGTGCAACATCGGGTGTTAGATTTTCAGTTGCTGGACGACTACGGCTTTATAGCCAATTGCCAACCTCCGACGGTGCGCTCCCTACTGACTCCTTAGACCAGCCATCGACAAACGCACTCTATCGCAATCTGTACCCGTCAGATCGAGCTGCCTGCGGGTGTCTTCAGGAGGTTCAGCGGGGACGCCTTTACGCACATCTCTTTTAAGCCTTGCGTGCCTCCTCTTCTCCTTCCTCAAAGTCACACATTCCACACCGAGCAGCCTCATTCCAATTATTCCACATTCTTCCCGGTGCTCACAAGGAATATTGCATTTCTTCAGCGCATCTTCGATACACACACACACACACTTTTTCTGTTTTCTATTTGAATTTGTAGGTCTGATGAATTGGATCGTATTTACGATTCCAATGGAATAAATTATGACCATGGAGTATTAGTGTTTAAGCCTTTTTATTATATATATATATATATTTTAGAACTGTTCCATCGTTTTTGAAATCATTTTTGGATTTGCCTTGTAACGGGAAGGACTTCAAGCCTGTTGAAGATATAAGAACCAATTGATCACTACGTATTCCAATATCAACGGAAGATATTTCTTTAATTGTTTATAAAAATTTTTCATTCGACTTTTTGATATTTTTTAATTTTTGGAAATCATCTTCGATTACGTCTTAACAACATCGCCCACGTGACGACTACGTGATCAGATTTAAACAAAACGCTGATCTGTATAAAATTTCAGTTATCTGTTTGAATTAGTTGGGCTCTTATGTCCATCGTCTTTTGTGTTAAATTGTTATAAGTTATAATGTTAATTATGTTTAAATGAAAATGTCCATGAAGATGGTCTTAAATAGACCGAAACGTCCGACGTCGACTTTATTTTAACATTAATACTACATAAATGCATTTTCAGATTTTTGTTTTTTCTGTATTTTTCTTTCATATATATATATATATATATATATATATATATATATATATATATCAATGATAGAAATTAAGGAGGAATTGAGATAATTAAGTAATTCATCGAGTCTAAAAGAAACATCAACAGAATGCATTCTGTTGATGTACTTAATATATATATATATGTGTGTGTGTGTGTGTGTGTGTGTGTGTGTGTGTGTGTGTGTGTGTGTGTGTGTAAAAATATGTAGAAAATAGGAAAGAACTCGTTAGGTAAATGATCCAAAGTTCTTTAGTATTTTTGTTATTATTTTCAAAAGATAGTGCTCGATACAAAAGTAGAGCATAAATATAATTATTTATTTAAAAATATGATTCCAACATGCTACATAAGAGTTCTCATGTTTCAAAACAAGAGCCGAAAACTTCAATATAATTATTTGAATTAAATTGAATTAAGCTATTAAGCTCTGTTCCATCTTCAAGCGAAATTTTTACTGGAATAACTTATTCCTGAAATTTACGCGTTTTATAAGCATATTCATTATTGAAATTAAGATTACTATGGTGACGGCTAGAGCAATTGTTTAAAGAAAAGGGGCGTAAGGGTTAACAATTTGTATCAATATCTCAGTTACATTCATATATATATATATATATATATATATATATATATATATATATATATATATATATATATATATATATATATTATTTTTTTATAGTTGCATAGAACGAGTGACTGTTCCTGACTAGGGTTAACAAACTAGTAGCGAAGGGTAGTTTGAAAAAAATAAAGACAGCTTTATTACAAGACCACTACTTCTAAATTAAAGATATGCAACCATTGATCAAATCTTTCTTTCTATTTCATTTTATTTTATACTTTGGGTGTTCCAAAGTTAATATAAAAGAGTAAAATATCTTGACGTAACATTTAAAAAATAACAGTAAATCAACGTTTGCTTTAAGCCCACGGCGAGAAGATATTTTGATGGCTGTCAGCTATTCCGAATGAAGGCAAGAACTCAAAAGGAAAAGGAATTGAATAAAAGAAAAATGTGACTGAAAGCTTTAGGCTTTTATTTAGTGTGTCTTGAATTTTTAAAAATGGCGTACACCTATGTTTTATACATTATGCAAAAGTGCTTGATAAACTACGTCAATGAGAACAGCTGGAGATTTTAAGTAAGTTTGATATATTTGAGAAAGAGTTTAGAATAATCAAGAACCTATACTGGTATCAAACTGCCTGAATTCAGTATATAGTGATTTTCCAAGCGTAGCTCAGATGTGGTACAAGGCCGAAAGTATAGGGCATCCAATGAGGATCGAACTCACAATTGTTTTAGCGAGACATGCTTGCTTAACCATTACATCACCTGGAGGTGCCCAATAGTGATTTTTCCAAGCGTAGCTTAGATGCGGAACAAGCCGAAAGCAGGTGGCACCCAGTGAGGATCGAACTTACTATTCAGTCGTAATTGTTCTAGCGAATCAATCTTGCTAACCATTACACCGCCTTGAGGTGCTCCCCTGAATTCAGTATATATGCAAAAACAGAAAGGAGTGTAAGACAAGGATGTGTCGTCTCACCGGACTGTAAAATGAGGTGGATTCTGAGAGAATTAGAAGATTTTTTTTGTCTTACATTTGGACTGTTTAGCTGCTCCGATCTTCTTCTTCTTCTCTTTCTCCTCCTTCTCCTCCTCCTCCTTCTTTTTCTTCTTGTTCTTCTCCGACCTTCTCCTTCTTCTCCGATCTTCTCCTTCTCCTTCTCCTCCTCCTTCTTCTCCGATCTTCTTCTTCTTCTTCTCCTCCTCCTCATTCTCCTCCTCCTTCTTCTTCTTCTTCTTCTTCTTCTTCTTCTCTTTCTTCTCCTTCTTCTTCTTCTCCTTCTCCTCCTTTTCCTCCTCCTCCTTCTTCTTCTTCTTCTTCTTCACCAATCTTCTCCTCCTCCTCCTCCTCCTCTTTCTTCTCCGATCTTCTCCTTCTCCTCCTTCTCCTCCTTTTTCTTCTTCTTTTTCTTCTCTGAATTTCTTATTATTCTCCTCCTTCTTCTTCTTTTCCTCTCCCTCTTCCTCCTTCTTCTTCTTCTTCTTCTCTTCCTCATTCTCCTTCTTCTTCTTCTTCTTCTTCTTTTCCGATCGTCTTCTTCTTCTCCGATATTCTTCTCCTTTTCCTCCTCCTCCTCCTCCTTCTTCTTCTCTGATCTTCTCCTTCTCCTTCTCCTCCTCCTTCTTCTTCTCCGATCTTTTTCTTCTTCTTTTTGTGTCGTGTACTTTCAGGATGTGGGCGATCACGTCTCTCCTCAACTCAAGGATGTCTGCCACAATTCTAACAACATTAGATATACACATGACACAATGTTGAGAGCAAAAAGAAAGTACGACTACTCATACAGGGGAGAGTAATAAAGGAAGGCGAAAAGAAAAGACTAAGCATAATTTCTAAGACAGAATGTGTGGCGATCAACAAAAAGAAGAGACCAGCAAGCAAAGTGGCCTTCCAAAAGCTAAGCATAGTATAAAGAAACAAGAAAATCTCATTTATAAAAAAAAAGAAAATATTACTAAACAGCTATGTAATATAATCCTCCTGTACGACAGCGAGTGCCAGGCAATCTCATCACAGATGAAGAAAAGACACGAGGCAACAGAAATGTGGTTCTACAGAAGGATACTGAGAATACCATGAACTGAGAGAACTTTTAGAGAAAACGAAAAAAGGACACTTACATTTAACACCAGAAAGTGACAATTGAAATTTTAACGGAAGATGACACCGAAATCCAAAGACGTATTGGGTTAGCGCAAGATGCCTTCCAAAAGCCAAACAAAGTATTAAGAAACTGAAAAATCTCGTTAGGAACAAAGAAATGAGTATGTAACAGTTATGTTGCAGTCAGGTCCTTCTATATGGCAGTGAATGCTGAACAATCTCACAGAAGGAGAAATGTGGTTCTACAGAAGGATGCTGAGGATACCATATACTGAATATATAAGCAATGACGAAGATTTAAAGAAAATGGAAACACTTATACTTAACACCAGGAAGAGACTGTTGAAATTTCTAGGGAACATAAAGATGAAAGCGGGCTTGGAAAATTTCACACTCACAGGGCGTATTGAAGGCAAGAGAGACAGTGGGAATCAGCGCATAACCTTGTGTTGATGGCTGGCAGAAAGAAGATTGTGGGAGATCACTAAAAGACAAACATTACTAAGTACAGAAGACATGAAATTGTGGAGAGCCGTGATCGCCCAAGTCCTGAAAGTACACAGCACATAGAAAAAGAAAAAAAAAAGATCGGAGCAGCTGAACAGTCTAAATGTAATGTCAAGTCTTTGATATTTGGTTAGAGACAACGTGTTATCAGTTCTTTCATTCCTCACAAAAATCAAAGACTTTTACAAGTAAGCCAATGTACTCTCCGATTTCGTGTAATCTGAACAGCGGGCACAATCTGGGCTGGAGTTACCCAATCTTCACTTTCCAGTTTCGGCAGCGTTCAAAAATGTTTAACCTCTCTACACGCAAGACGCTAGTGTGCCGCTGGTGGGTCGCCGATGCCATTGCTAGCGGTCCTCTGATGGCAGCCACCGACGGCCTAAAGGTGGGCCACTAGCGGTCCGCAAGTGGTAACAGTGCCGACACGAACACGCCGGCGGTCCAACATCGGGCCAACAGCGGTCCGCAAGTGGTAGCATTGCCGAGACGAACACGCCGGCGGTCCAGCATCGGGCCACCAGCGGTAAACGCTAGTGGCATACTACGCAATGGCAGATTGGTGGCTTGAGCGTAGGGCTCTTTCCTCGCAGATGAAACGTTGCTTGACTCTCGCTACTCTATCGCTGTTTACATGACAAATGTTCAGGCGAGCTACTATCCAACTAGTTCGGTTTTTCAAAGCTAGGGCCTGCCATGACACGTACACGGCGTCATCTCACCCTGATTTCCTTCGTATTCCATTGGTAAAGAGGAAGTTCCAATCAGACAACTTCTCTAGAATTGTCACTTAGTGGAACAGACACCTGAGAGATTTATTCCCCGATCGCTATGCTCTTAATCTCGTCAAGCCTAGAGTCAATCGTTTTCTATCCTACATATCCTCATAATATACACATCTCACTCCCTCCTTGTACGTCCTTACAACAACTTTATTTAGTAACCTTCTGCCTTGAGTAGTTCATGGTATGACGAAAAGCTCCATCTGGCAGGAAAGCCTCTCATGGGGAGATTGGCAGTTTTAAGGAACGTGGAACCACCTCAATTGCTAGTGTTCCCATGTCCATCCTGATTCGGGGTGGTAGCACCTGTTAGGTTCCCAGCTATGGGTAAATAGTAAACCTCAAAACAGAAACTTGCTTGACACTACCTTTCTGGCCTTTGGATTTGTAGGACATCCAATCTACCCATTTCTCTCTAGGAATAAGTTTTCCACGTACAGTAGGACCGACAGATCTGAAATTATCGTGGGTTTTTTCCTTGTTGACTACCCACACCTTATTTGTCGATATTTTTTTCTTACAGCGGTGTTCACACGGTACAAGAGTGCAAGAGCCACTCGAGTAAGAGGGTAACCGAGTAAGTGGCTCAGCTTAGGCAAATACTAGACTTGAACAGATTAAGATTGAAGTGATCGGGGAAGCGACCTCTTTGAAGACGGTTTCACAAGGCAGCGGTTCGTGGGAAGAATCTGTTAGGATAGAACTGACATCTCACCAAATTGATTTCTTACAAAGAATACAAAGAATACATATTCTATTCATACGAATCTATCCTAAAAATCTTGTCGGCATTAAATAACCCATAGAGGGTTATGCCACCAAATAAAATCAATCAAATTTATATAACCCTCTTTACAAAAATATTTCAATGAAACCTGGCCTACAAATTGATTTCTTACAAAGAATACATATTCTATTCATACGGATCTATCCTAAAAATGTTGTCGGCATTAAATAAACCATTGAGGTTGATATGCCGTAAAACAAAATAAACCAAACCAATCTAAACCAAAGAATACATATTCTATTCATACGAATCTATCCTAAAAATGCTGTCGGCATTAAACAACCCATTGAGATGTTGATATGCCGTAAAACAAAATAAACCAAACCAATCTAAACCAAAGAATACATATTCTATTCATACGAATCTATCCTAAAAATGCTGTCGGCATTAAACAACCCATTGAGATGTTGATATGCCGTAAAACAAAATAAACCAAACCAATCTAAACCAAAGAATACATATTCTGTTCATACGAATCTATCCTAAAAATCTTGTCGGCATTAAACAACCCATTGAGTGTGATATGCCGTAAAACAAAATAAACCAAACCAATCTAATCCAAAGAATACATATTCTATTCATACGAATCTATCCTAAAAATGTTGTCGGCATTAAATAACCCATTGAGATGTTGATATGCCGTAAAACGAAATAAACCAAACCAATCTAAACCAAAGAATACATATTCTATTCATACGAATCTATCCTAAAAATCTTGTCGGCATTAAATAACCCATTGAGATGTTGATATGCCGTAAAACGAAATAAACCAAACCAATCTAAACCAAAGAATAAATATTCTATTCATACGAATCTATCCTAAAAATCTTGTCGGCATTAAATAACCCATTGAGATGTTGATATGCCGTAAAACGAAATAAACCAAAACCAATCTAAACCAAAGAATAAATATTCTATTCATACGAATCTATCCTAAAAATGTTGTCGGCATTAAATAACCCATTGAGATGTTGATATGCCGTAAAACGAAATAAACCAAACCAATCTAAATCAAAGAATACATATTCTATTCATACGAATCTATCCTAAAAATGTTGTCGGCATTAAATAACCCATTGAGATGTTGATATGCCGTAAAACGAAATAAACCAAACCAATCTAAACCAAAGAATAAATATTCTATTCATATGAATCTATCCTAAAAATGTTGTCGGCATTAAATAACCCATTGAGATGTTGATATGCCGTAAAACGAAATAAACCAAACCAATCTAAATCAAAGAATACATATTCTATTCATACGAATCTATCCTAAAAATCTTGTCGGCATTAAATAACCCATTGAGATGTTGATATGCCGTAAAACGAAATAAACCAAACCAATCTAAATCAAAGAATAAATATTCTATTCATACGAATCTATCCTAAAAATTTGTCGGCATTAAATAACCCATTGAGATGTTGATATGCCGTAAAACGAAATAAACCAAACCAATCTAAATCAAAGAATAAATATTCTATTCATACGAATCTATCCTAAAAATGTTGTCGGCATTAAATAACCCATTGAGATGTTGATATGCCGTAAAACGAAATAAACTAAACCAATCTAAATCAAAGAATAAATATTCTATTCATACGAATCTATCCTAAAAATGTTGTCGGCGTTAAATAACCCATTGAGTGTGATATGCCGTAAAACGAAATATGCCAAACCAAACAAAAATTTTAAAAGTAAAGAACAGAAATGAAGAATACACGGAAAATCTTTCAAAGAAATCTTATAATCCCAACCTGTCGTGGCACTTGAATGACCAATTTCTTGCCTTGTGTCGTGACAGCTTAGTAAAAGTTTTATCACGTATTGAGACAGTACATATAGAACGCTGCTAATAAACTAAAACATCTCATCTAATGCACCTGTTTCTGAATCGAACTGATGATGAAGACGCCAACGAGTTGGTTTCTTTGATATAAGATCAGAATTATAGAACACCTAGTGAGGATCAAGCTCGCTTGTTATACTGAACTTACTCTTGTTCGCAAATCAGCACATTACTTGAGGCCTTTTTTTTTTCATTTTGGAAAAAAAAATCAGCTAAATAATTTTCCGAGCTGTAAAAAATAAAATATAAACCTTCTGTAGAATTTCTGCCTGAATTTCTGATAGGATTATTTACAGGCAGACGATTGTCCCCATGTTTGTTGTTGTTATCACAACGTTTCGGCCGGTGTACCCTCCAGTCTTCATCAGGTGTATGCCGATCCGGCTGACTTACCTAGAATTCCAAACTGAATCGTTAATTTAATCTACGAGGTGTAGTCTGTTCTCCTTCCGCCACTACTCATATCTAGGAATATTTCATCTTTGTTCTTATGAAGGCCAAAGCGCACAACGGGCTTAACGTTGTGATAATAATGACAAAAACTAAGGACAATAATATGCATTTAAATAGTATAAATAAATCTCTGTAAATAATTTTCTGTAGAAAAAAAAAGCAATTATATTTACTAATATCAATATATCGATATAAGAGTAATAGTAATTTCAACCGTTTCCTTATAAGGTTTGGTTTGATTCATTTTGTTTTACGGCATATCAACATCAAAGGGTTAATTATTGCCGACAACATTTTTAGGGCAGATTCGAATGAATAGAATATGTATTCTTTGGTTTAGATTGGTTTGGTTCATTTTGTTTTACGGCTATATCAACATCAAAGGGTTAATTATTGCCGACAACATTTTTAGGACAGATTCGAATGAATAGAATATGTATTCTTTGGTTTAGATTGGTTTGATTCATTTTGTTTTACGGCTATATCAACATCAAAGGGTTAATTATTGCCGACAACATTTTTAGGACAGATTCGAATGAATAGAATATGTATTCTTTGGTTTAGAATGGATTGGTTTATTTTGTTTTACGGTATATCAACCTCAATGGGTTATTTAATGCCGACAACATTTTTAGGATAGATTCGCATGAATAGAATGTATATTCTTTGGTTTAGATTGGATTGGTTTATTTTGTTTTACGGCATATCAACCTCAATGGGTTATTTAATGCCGACAACATTTTTAGGATAGATTCGTATGAATAGAATATGTATTCTTTGGTTTAGTTTGTTTTGGTTTATTTTGTTTAACGGCAATCAACCTCAATGGGTTATTTAATACCGACAAAAATTTTTATTGCTGGTAATATTTTGTTTTGTCAAAAATCTGTTTCCGGTAATATATTTCCTTCAAAATTGTATTGCTGGTAATAATTTTTTTCAAAAAAGTATTTTTGGTAATAGTTAACTATTTGCCCATAGCTGGGACCCTAACAGGTGCTACCACCCCGGGTCAGGATGGACCTGGAAACATAAGCAATTAAGAGGTGGTTCCATCCTCCTCAAAACCTCTTAATCAGAGTCCTTGAGGCTGGACGTAGTTTAACGACTTACGCATAGCACGGATGTAGTTTAACGTCTTACCCCGGACGCCGTTTCCTTATAAGGAAACATTCGACATTCATTGACCGAACAGTCAATGTCGCTGTCAGTTGGAATTTATAACATTTTTCTCTTAAAACAAGAAAATAGATTTCTCAAGTCTAGTAGATGTTATCGATCATTCAAGTATTGATGGGGGTTTCCTTCCTAACTTTTTGTTTGAAGTAGTGTGGAATGTCAACATCTGCATTTGGTCATAATTTTATCTTCGAGTTACATGTGGTAGCCATTTTAGTTGCTACTGCTGCTGGTAGCCGTCAAACTTACTTTGACATTTGAGGTTTAAACTTTGAGCTTTAAATTTTGAATTTAAATTGTCCGTTAAAAGTTTGTATAAATTTAAAACTTACTTTGATATTTGGACTTAATATTTAACTCAATCTACATCTGCGTCTGATGAAGTGTCGAAACCCAAAAAACATTCAATAAGAAAGCATAATATATGTCAAAATATTATATAGGTTTAATCGTATGGTTCAGTTATTTCAGATTTCACACACACACATATATATATATATATATATATATATATATATATATATATATATATATATATATATATATATATATATAAACACATACACATATATATATATATATATATATATATATATATATATATATATATATGTTATATTCATGAATATGTGGGTGAAACATGTAGGTCCGTAAAATCTCATGTTTTCGAACATAAACGAGATATTTGCCTCGAAATTTAAACAATGCTTTTAGTTGTACACACAACTAAAGCTGATCATAATTTCGATTTTGATTCTGTGAAGATTTTAAAATATTTTCATAATAAAAATCTTAGGCGGATTTATGAAGCAGGCATAATATCTATCTCACGCACGGTGAACACTAGACCTGGCTTGTTTAATATATCCCCGTTTTCTAGCAAGATTAATGCTCGACAAACGTACATATAAGTTTTAGATCAAAATAAAATTCTTTTCGTTTTTCATTCAAAATACTCAAATTTTAGGAATACGTTTCCAAAACATCGCCCACGTGACGACGACGTGATCATATTTAAACGGAACGCTGATCTTATAAAAGATTTCAGTTATCTGTTTGGATTGGTATTGCTTTTATGTCCATCGTCTTTTTAATGTTGAATTGTATATGGTCTATGTTAATTATGTTTTATGAATATGTCCTGAAGATGGTC